CTTGGTAAATGTTACTTTTATAATTTGTCCAGGACCTTCTGAAAGTGGGCAAAGGATTTTCCATCCCTTACACATTGGCTCTCACCCCTGCTCCTGAGTAAACTGATAGCAGTGTGGTTTCTTCCTCAGGGAAACTCCCTCCGAATCTCATACTCTTGGGTCTTGGCTGCTATTTTTAGTTGGACGCACCCCTCCAATGAAATGGTGAGCTCTCTGAGGGCAGCAAAAGGAGCACTTTCTCAAAACGCCTGGAACAGTCCTGAGTAGTCAGGAAACATCGGCTGATGCAACAATCCTTAACTCAGCCAAATGTTGACTGAGTCTTTGTACTGTGTGGGTCACTGTGGCCAGCTCTGGGGTGAGGGTATGGAGGAGGCCCAGCAAGCATGAACATTTGCACTACCTTATAAGTGGGAAAAAACCCAGTGCTGAGTGTTTTCTCCGCATTTACTCCTTCGATCTCTGCCAAGCAGATGCTATCATTCCCTCTTTCCAGAGGAGGAAACTGAGGTTCCCAGAGGAGTAATGTGCTCAAGGTTCCCAAGTAAGAAGAGAAGGTAAGAGGATAAAGCCACACCTGCATGATTTCCACTTCACCCCACTAACACCCATGCTCTCTCCCTACTCTCATTCCTTGGTATAGATTTCAAATATATTTCTGTCTGATCAAACACATAAATGAATGAATACATAAATGACTGTAATACAAGACCAATTATGATTTGTATTTGGATAGAGGCACAAAGTATTATGGACATGCCAAGGAACAGGCAACAGCAATTCAAAGTGAAGTGGCAAAGGACTGGTGTACCCAATCATGGCTTGATGGAATGTAAAGTCAGAGGATCAGTTACAGAGGAAGGAGGGACGCCCAGGTCTGCCTTCTAAAGCAGGAATCTCCTGCTCCATCACCAGCTCAGCCCGAGAGCCTCACGATGGGGAGCTTACTGTATCACAAGGCACTCCATCCCACCGTGGATCGTTCTCATTCTTAGAAAGGTTTTCTTTACTTTGGCCTGAAACAACTGCCCTGGAAATGCTTAGTCTGAGTTTTACCCTCAAAGGATTAACCAAATAAATTGGTTGGTTGACTGAAGGTCTGTGATCCCTGGGAGAGCACAGTGCATTCCAGATAGACTTAGGGTTTCCATTTCCTCCCCAGGCCATTGCAGAAGGAGGGAGCACATGTTTGGACAGGAGGAAATGGGCTTCAGCAAAAACGCTGGGTGTGAGGCAGGAGGAAGGAATAGCTATGTCTCATTCTGGCAGCCTTTGGTGTAAAGCACTAGAGAAATATGAAACATGGAGACAAAATGAGAACAAGACGAGATCTTTGCAAGTATTTAAACCAAACCATTCTGAGGTTCCCAGAAGAGAGATAACTCGATTCTTTCGGTTCATTTCCATTTTTGTACTGTCTCAGAAACTTCTGGAATTCCAGCTGGGCCACGAAGGTGCACAGCCAAAACATCCAAAGAATGTCTCTTATTATGGGACGTTCAGCCCAATTTGCACAACTAGAGAGTTCTGATACTTCTGATAACGTCTGGATATAAGACTCAATATTTGGGGTGGAGTAGCTTAGCTCCAACCAAATTTGGGAATCTTGTTTGAGGAGAATGGATGAGAGAGATTGGAAACTATTAAAAGTGGAGGGCTTATACTAAAATCGAAACTGAAGTTTTAATCCATTTTCTAGACTCATCTAGGACAGCAGGTGCTGCTACTTTGCAGCAGTCACAGTGAGAACTGCCAACTTATTCTGACGGGGCTACTCCTGTTGACAGAATCCTCACACCTAAGTCTTGCACACTGACAAGGTCAGAGGTTGGGTCTTCACTTCTCTGGTTTCTTCCGCAGGCTCCAGCACGGAGCTAGGCACCTAAATCCAATAGATACCTACGTTTATCATTTTTACAGCATCAGGGAAAGGGACAAAAGTGGGTTGTAAAGAGGAAATGGGAGTAACTATGGTCATTTCATCGATCCCCAAATTAATGGAGTGTCCTAGTGAATGAACACCAAGGAACCACAAAATGGCCACTGAGACAGGGAGTGAGAACAGTCCAAACTCAAAGGTGTGAGCAGTGCCCGTGAATCTACTAGAGGAGAATTCAAGTACCACACAAGGTCTACACAGTGACACCAACACTAAGATCTGCTGATTGACGATTCTTTCTGCACGTTTCCCATTGACGTTTTCCAGGTATCCAGTTATTTCCAAATTTTTGATGTGACTGCATATTCCCAGGCTCCCACTGTCATCTTCCATGAGATCCCTCTAATCCTAGATTCTCCACTTATGGGTTCTGTGACTTTGGGAAGCCATTCCACCTCTCAGTTCTTCCAAGGTAGTTAATAATTCTTACCTTGAAGAATAGGCAATGGATTGGCTATGGTGTGTATGAATGACCAATACAGTAGCTGGTGGCCCTTGAGGGGGTTCCCTCCCCACTCTCCTCCATCTGCTTTGGTGCTCACTCTCTGCACCCATGCACCTCCATGGTCTGTTCCTGTAGGAATTTTTGTGTGTGTAGGTGTGTGTATGCATGTGTGTGTGTGTGTGTAAGAGCGACAGAAAGAGAGAGAGAGAGGAAGAAGGAGGAGAAGAAGACTATAATTGTGTTGGGAGAAGGTGAGGGGCACATGGTGCATCTAACAACCTCCCAACTCCCTTTCTCAAGCCATCAACCTCTTCACTGGAAGCATGACAAGGTGAAAATTAACTACCAGCCTCCTCTAATCACTGCACGAGGTAATGAAGACCATGGCTATACTTCCTCCTCCTCTTCTCTGTTGTCAGAAGGGAGCTACATTTACACTCCATGAAGGGCCTTACCCAGAATTATGCAGGCTCTGTATGTGTGTGTGCGTATGCACGTGTGCATGATGGAGGGCAGTGTGTGCATGACTTCTAGGCTTTTGCTTTCATATGGGGAATTCGGGAGACTTTTGTTCTGCCGCCCTCCGGGCCGCCCTGCCTGGCCCTGCACCCAGCCTGCACACACATGCCCTCTTCTGACCCAGTATTCTCCAGTGAGCTGATCTCATTATGGCAAATTTAGTTACAGCTGAAGTCTCCTTGTAACAAAGATTATGTCCGAGCCCAGAGTAATGGAACCTAGTCGATTTCATTAAAATAAAATTGGTTACGATGAATAATTCAATAGGATGATTTTGTTTCCTAGTCTCCTCTTTGTAGATCGAAGTGCTAGTATTTATAATGATTTTTTTAAATTGGATTTTTGTTTAGGAAGAGATAATCACCCATAATTCCTGACAGCCCCCTCCTTACAAGATTGGGATAATTGCCCCATGAAATCTCTTTTCAGATGCTAAGACTGAAAAATTCTTTCTCTCCTTTTCTCGCATTAGTAGCAATAACCTTTGGGTCATTTTTTAAGCACAGCTGCTACCTCAACTCTTGCTCATGTGAGATTCGGTGTGCGTTAATAATTCCCTTGTTTGAACGATGTTTTTTAAACATTTCTAGGAACTGGATGCTGGTTGAATTTGGAATTCCTGGCTCTCTTGCTGGCCAGCCCTGCTGTTCCTGAGCAGGACATTCGATGTCATAGAAAGGGGATTCTTGAGCATTTTCTCTTAGCGTTGTTCATTTGCATGCAGCAATGTGCATGTACGTGTGTGTCTGTGTGTGTGTGTGTGTGTACGTGCATGGATCTATAGCCAATTAAACACATTTCTTGAGCAGCTAGTCTTCTCTAGACCTATGCCTGAAGATGAGAGGACAAAGATGAATAAAGCTCAAAACTGTTTTCAAAGAACTAGCAGCCTAATGAGGGAGCCAGACATACAAACAGATAATTAGAGTTCAGTGTGATGGGTGTAACTAAAGATGAATTCAGCAAGTACAGAGGGGGACGATGAACCCTAGACACTCACTCACTCATTCATTCATTCATTCTACACATGATTTTTTCCCACTCTCCCCATGGCAGTCAGAAACAAACACAAATGAATAAATAATCTAATGCATATAAGCACAAGCAAACGGATAAATGAAAAAATGATCAAATAACACTATAGATTATAAATGAGATGGACCTATCTTATACTTCATCCAATGATTTTCACTGGTCCCCAGAAGGTCACATCTCTCTTTCATCTAGAAACCAGCCTACCCGTGCCCCCATCCCTGAGTTAGGGCATCAATATTAAGAGGAATGGCTAGGAATAATGGTTCATCTGCAATGCCAGGAGGCAGGCTGGACTCAGAGGTGGCCACTGGGCCAGGCAGTGGGAAGCACTGAGTCGTGTCTCTGGGAAATGGTAGTCTCGAAAGAAGGCAGGTGTTTGCTTAGCAGGATAATTGGAAAGCGGGCTCTGGGGACAGCCCAGCCATCCTTAGAATCCCACAAGCTCTGGGGGCCCCAACGCTCTGGCTCCCTCAACTAAGCAGGCATTCCCTTAGGGAAGAACCCTGGAACATAAATAGTTCATTAGGGGACTGAGGAATGAGTCACAGCTTTTCAGAGTTGGGGAGGTCCTTGGAGATCATCAACCTCAATTACTCTCTAATTTAAACATAGGAAAACATGGGGCCCAGAGAGGTGGGGAAACTAGTCCAAGGCCACACAGCAAATTCATGGTAGAGTCACCATTAATTCACAGGAGGGTACTCAAGGAGCATATGACTTGGTATTTTCCCCCCCAAAATCAGGACTCCCTCTGAAGAATTTGTTCTTACCCCATAGAATTCTAGCGGTATATCCAAAATGGAATTCTTTCCCCAAATATGAATTATAACACGTAGGGAAACAGGCAGACAGTCGTTACCCTGACCACACTGCTGTTCCCTGCCCTTAACCACACCATGTCTAACCCCTGACAGATGGGACTCTGAGACCCTGAAAATATATTTGCTAGAGATATGGTCAAGTGGCCACGTCCATTGACCCTGCCTTCGAGGTGGGCAGTCTTGAGGGCAGCACAGAGGTTCAGAATGTCTGCAAGAAAGTCACACGTGGTTGGGAGCTTACCTGGGATGCTGCTGGCTGACCAATGATGACCCAGCCTGGACACTGCTGGTCTTGATGGGATACTGAAGCATTGGATGCCCATTGATCCAGGAACCCCTGGGGCGTGTAGACACCACAGTCCTTGATGCTAGTTTTTTGTTCAAACTCCTCACAGACCCCATCACCATCATGGAAGTAGCACCGGCTAGGTTCATCTGCAGGAGAGGGACACAGAAGGGAGAAAACAGAGATTGTTCTTTGGTCTCAGCTATCATCAGCAGCTATGGAATCAGACCAGCAGAGCCCTCAGCACTATCAAACCCATCACCAATAGTCATGATGGAATATTATTCACCCTTGAAAAGGGAGGAAATTCTGCCAGACGTGACAACATGGATGAATTTGGAGGACATGATGCTAAGTGAAGTAAGCCAATTACAGAAGGACAAATACTGTATGCTTCCACTTATATGAGGTATAGAAAGTAGTCAAACTCATAGAAGGAGAAAGTAGAATGGTGGTAGCCTGGAGCTACAGGGAGGGGGAAATGGTTGAGAGGTGAGAGTGAAGGTTCAGTTATACAAGATGATTAAGTTCTGGAGAGCTGCTGTACAACGCTGTGCCTGCAGTTAACATTGTCCTTATAGTTAGAGTAAGCACATGTGCACCCGAGAATTTCTTAAGAGGATAGATCTTGTGTACTATATTTTTAACTACATACACACACACACACACAAAAGTTCACACACACTTTCCGCCTTCATTATCCCAAGTGATTCCCACAGCAACCTTGTGAGGAGGGTATTATTATTTTAATTATTATTTTAGTCTTCCAGATTAGGAAACTGAGATCCCACATGTCTTTAATAACTTGCTTAGGGTCATGCAGTGTGTTAATGCCAGATCCTGGTTTTAAACTCAGATTTTCACTTCCCACGTTCTGGGTATATTATCTGATACCACAGAACTTCATAGCTGCAAACTGAGGTTTTACTCCAAAGAGAATTTCACTTTTGCATAAAGAGTGAACTGATACACAAGAGATGCTGGCTTCAGTCCCAGCTCTGAAACTAAATTGCTCTGTTACTTTAGAGTAGTCTCTTTCCCTCTCTGGGCTCAATCATCACTATCGGTAAGGAGGTTAGACTGCTGGGACACCAGGAGCCCTTCCTGGCTTCTCAGATACCTTAGAAATTTCAGTTAAAGGCCAGGTGAGTTCTCAAGCTCCCGTGCAATCAAATCACAGCAAGGATTTCTACCTGGGACAATTTAATGCTGCCACTGGTTGCAATGATCCTGACTTAGCTGCAAGGACAAAGATCACAGAAGCACAGAGCTAGCGGGATGCCTTCTAAGTAGGTAGGACCTATACTTGTTTCTTGGTGTTTCAATACAGAACAATACAAGGAGAGACCTGGATATAGCCATCCAAAAGAGATCAGCCTGCCCATCTTTTAATAACTTGAATGTCAGGTATTCTGGGCTATTTTCCCAACTCTTCTAGGCAAAGTTAAATGCCTCTTCCTGTGTAGGTTCCTATTTTATAAAGATTCTCATCTTAACACTTACCACAGTGTGCTTCCATTATGTGTACATGCTACAGCTCCTCTGAAAAACTGTGAGCTCCTTGAAATCTAGTCCCTATTCAGTGTCTTAGGGTGATCTTATAATTTATCATCCAACCTAGTGCATTTTGAGAATCATAGAGATGCTATTAAAAACTATGTCCAGGCCATTGGCACATATCCTGGGAAAATCTGAATGTCTTAGGTAAATTAGAACGTATGCATATGGTCACCCTGCGGATACTGCTTGATCTAGGACATCCTCCTCTATTTACTCCAAAATAATGGAGTGGAGCTCCGTTTCCAACCAGGATGGGACTTCTGTCCCTTATATGAGCTATGTAACTTTGCACAATTAACTTCACTTCTCAGTCTCTGGCTTCCCATCTATAATACAGAAAGGATTATCCCAGCCAGCACAACCTCCTCAGACAGCCATAGAACTCTCATAGGAAATGGACATAAACACGCTTTATACATTCGAAAATAATGGTCAAGAGAGAAAACACTCTTCTTCTTCTGAGGGGTCAGTTTATTCCTAAGTGGCTGCATTGAACCAGCTTGTGAAATCAGTACTCACTTGAACCACTTTCAAGGAGCATTCCCCCAGATTGAAAGAGCCTGGGCTAGGTAGAAATAAGAGTTGGATTTCTGTGATGCTGACTATCTGAAAAAGGAGTCATTGAATTCAGGGGCAGCAGAATGTTGAGCCCCTTCCAAGATCCAAAATCCCTTGTTTATTTCTGCAAACAGTTTACATAGTGAAATACTATCAAAAGAGCCAGAATAAATCAATTCACTATAATTCAATTATTTAAGGATGAGTGTGAGCCAGCTGAGGACTCCAGTGACCAGTAGCATGCTTGGCAATTCAAGCATGGAAAGAATACAGGTCTGGCACTTCTCGGTAGCTCCAACCTCTTGATGAATGTGACCAACTGACATATAATAAAGCTTAGCCCCAGTCCAAGAGTGGCCAGCTATCAATCCAGACTTTACTCTTTAGAAACCCAATAAAGGGAATTGCAATGAGGGCAGGTTTGGGCATCAGGCAAAGCTAGGTTCAAATCCTAACTCTGCCATACGTAAGCTATGTAGGAATTAAATAAACTAACCTAACCTCTCTGAGCTTCATTTCCTTCATCCAAAAAAAAAAAGAAAGGACATAATATTATTTATCCAGCACTGTTGAAAGTGATTTCATGAGATGATGTGTATAATGCCAGCCCCTTCACCCATTTTATCTAATGGAAAAGTAAGAGCCACAGGAGGTAAGGCACTTGCTTCCAGGTCACAGAGAGAGCTGGTGGTAGGGCTAGAAGTAGGAGCCTGGCCTTTTTATGCTTAGCAGAGAGAGCTCCTCCTACATGCTATATCTACAGAATGATGAAAGCACATCCTCTTGAGGATAAGATCATGGGTTGCCTGCCTCTTGGTACTGCCTTTCTCCTCCTCCAATATGAAGATACAAAGGGGAAGATTATCATAAGATCATGTAAGGTCTATTCTCTAAGATGACTTAATTCATTTCCTCAGCAAAGAAACCTCTCAGAATGGAAAGAATTGGGACTAGAGTTGAATTCTCATGAAGGCTAATTTCTTTCTGATTATGTTTAAGACCTCAATATACCTGTCTGCTTAGAGTGAGCAGAACCTGGAAGTTCTGGAGGTTCTGGAGAGGAGGTAGAGGTAGACCTAGGTAGGTAAATAGGTACGGAGATAGGCAGATGGATGATATATAGATAGGCAGAGAGAGAATTAAAAGAGAGATAGGAGATAGAGCTAAAGAGAAGAGAGAGACAGAGTAAGAACAAGAGAGAGAGAGAGAGACAGAATGAGAGGGAGACAGAAGATGCCTGGTTTCTTCTTGAAGATTCTGCTGACAAAGCTACTGTGAGTCCCTTTTTTTTTTTTTTTAAATAGCATCCTTGGACTCCGCCATCCAGTTTCCCTTGCTACCAGAGTCCCAGGGGTTCTTCAGCTACACCTGCCAGTCTTCATCTGGGGAATTCTCTCTCCCTCTCTACTCCTGCGCACTGAAGAGAACAGGGCAAGGAATGGAATACAAATATGTGGCCAGGAAAAACAAATACAGCCTCAAGAAAACCATAAAACAAAACTGGCCTTCCTGTTTTCATTACATCAATTTACTTAGTTGTTCTTGAATGCTTTACATTGGGAGCTGAGCAGGTTGTAGTGAAAAGCATTTGAAGTCAACACTAAGGTCAAATGATCACTCTGCCACCTGCCTTCCATGTAGTAACGAGGTGGCATTGATAATAACACATCTCACTGGGAGGAATATTGTGAAAACTTATTATGCTCCCAACATGTATTTGTTGAATGAATAAATGACTCAAATTTGGCACCCTGGTGCACATACTCTCTTGTCCAGATATAGACTCTGCACCCTTTGAAAAGTTTCTTTAGACTAGACCTTGGGGTGAAGGGAAAGGAACTGAGACACCAGTAGTGACTAGCTTCCAGTGAGTTTGCACTGGGCAGTCTGATTTCTCCATTTCACCCCATCTTCCTCTGACATAAGGGAACTCCTCATTTCAGATTCATTCCCTTTCATGCAGTGACACATTTAGAAATTTCCTCCATCCAAGTAGGAGACTTGATGTGATGGGGAGGCATTGCCAACTCTGTCTTCCCCAGTTGAGCTTTCATTTGCCAATACTTGCTTTTCCTTTTGGAAGAAAGGAGCTCAGCTCCAAGAGCCCGAGGCAGATGGACGCTCTGCAAGTGGACAGACACAACTGATGCCACTCCTCATTGACTTAATTTTCAATTTCCATCTGTCTGGATGAAATGCCATCCTCTGCATTCCTGAAGCATGTCTGAAGGACATTATCTGAGATAAGCAGGGATTGTTACCCCCATTGGAAAGCTTGGAAAGCCAAGTCTTAGAGAAATGAGATGAGTTTACCTTAAACTATACTCAAAAGCTGAGGTTTGAGTTACTGTTAAGAGTTTTTATCCCTGCAGTCAGAAGCCCTAAATTCAAGCTCCTTATCTGTCCCTGATTACTAGGTAAACTTGGGCTTCTTATTTTACTTTCCCATGCCTCAGTTTTTCCATCTATAAAATGGAAACGAGATTACCTTGTAGACTGCCTCAGTAAAATCCTGGGTGTAATTACGTAACATCATAGACTGAGAGATGGAAAAGTGATACCGTCTTAAAGGCACAGGGCCTGTTCTTAACAATGAAGATAATGGGATGAGGTAGGGGCTGAAGAAGAAGTCTTCTTCTTCTTCTTTTATTTATTTATTTTTTTTGGCGAGGAAAACTGGCCCAGAGCTAATATCTGTTGCCAATCTCCCGCTTGTTGCCTGAGGAAGACTGTTTCTAAGCTAACATCTGTGCCAATCTTCCTCTATTTTGTATGTGGGATGCCACTACAGCATGGCTTGAAGAACAGTGTGTAGGTCCGTGCCTGGGATCCAAACCTGCAAACCCTGTGCTGCCAAAGCAGAGTGTACAAACTCAACCACTATGGCACTGGGCCAGCCCCTGGAGGAGAAGTCTTCTTACTTAGAGATTCTACTGTTATTCACCAAGCTTTAGATTTAAGGAATCTTCAGGAGCAGAAATGATTGAAGGTGGTGCATGGGATATTTTCAATATGAATGGCATGGAACTAA